TTAGCAGATCAAGAGAGATTCAGAAAATGTCTCTGAATCCACATGTGTGTTAAGTAAGCTTTCTTTTGAGGCGTGGCCAAAGCCTTCTAAATCCTTAATTAAGGGCAGCTTGAGTCTGGGAGCTTTATTGCGCTGTACTGCTGACAACCGAGGATAAACTTTCGCGATATCTTTCAAGCACTCCTCAGAATTACGCAAGATCGTTGCAACTTTTGAAATCAGGGAGCCAGGGTTTGGAGCACGGTCCGTGTATCCTATTGCACTTGAAGCATTGCTTCTTTAAAGGAAAGACTCTTGAGGATAGTGGAGTCCAGCAGTATTAAATGGGTTTAAGAAGGTCTTGTCAATGGGCTCCTAGCTGTGTGGCTCAGAGTAACCTTCCCTTATGTGTACAGAAGTCTTGAGGGTATTTGCACAGATCAGCTCATTAATCTTTATTTTTTTTTTCCCCCCTTGCAGAAGAAGAACAAGAGGAAGATGAGGAAATTGATGTCGTTACATTAGCTGAAGCAAATGAGTCCGAATCCAGCACAGAGTCCAGCACAGACACATCAGAAGAGCACAGTAAGCCCCACCACAGTCCACTGGTTCTCAAACGGTGTCATGTCAACATCCATCAGCACAATTATGCCGCTCCTCCCTCCACCAAGGTTGAATACCCAGCTGCAAAAAGGCTAAGGTTGGACAGTGGCAGAGTTCTCAAACAGATCAGCAACAACCGAAAATGCTCAAGTCCCCGCACGTCAGATTCAGAAGAGAATGACAAGAGGCGGACGCACAACGTCTTGGAGCGCCAGAGGAGGAATGAGCTGAAGCTGAGTTTCTTCGCCTTGCGTGACGAGATACCCGAGGTGGCCAACAACGAAAAGGCGCCCAAGGTTGTCATCCTGAAAAAAGCAACGGAGTACGTTCTTTCCATCCAGTCGGACGAACACAGACTGATTGCAGAGAAAGAGCAGTTGAGGCGGAGGAGAGAACAGTTGAAACACAAACTCGAGCAGCTAAGGAACTCTTGTGCATAGGAACTCTTGGGCATCGCTTCGAATAACCCAAACTAGACTGAAACTATGATAAAATATTAAAGTTTCTAATATCACTCATGAACTACACCAGTCCATTGCATATGGAACTATTGCAACTGCATGCTGTGCGATTAAACTTGAGACTACACAACCTTGGCTGAATCTCCCAAGGGTTTGGCCAGAACCTCAAAACTGCCTCATAATTGATACTTTGGGCATAAGGGATGATGGGACATTCTTCATTCTTGGGGATGAACTCTTCAACTTTTTTTCTTTTAAAATTTTGTATTTAAGGCATTTTTTCATATGAGAATCCTACAAAAAAGTTGTCCCCAGATTGTATATATTTACACATCTTATTGCCATGTAAATATCTTTAATAAAGCCTTTATAGAAAAATGTGCAACATTAATACGCAACAGTTGTGGCAACTGGATTTATACTTGTCTTGAACTTCTGTGCCATAACATTTCACAATTTTGGTTTTTTTTTTTTATTTAAATACATTTTTCTTTTAAAAATGATTTTTATTTTGTTTTTAGATAAATAAATATTTGCCCAAAATATAATTAGCTAAATCCTGTGTAAAGACTTTGCTTTGTCTCCTACTGTTGTCATTAGATGCTTATTTCTGTGACATCCTTCTCCCTGCCATCCTGGCTGTGATCTGACAAAAAGTCATAGGGGAGTTAGGTGAGAGGAAATGATGATAGCTTTGCAGCTTTGTACAGAATTGTTTCTCCCTCCTTCTGTTAATTCAGGTAGATAAAATCGTCGGTCTAATGTCCCCTGTTGGTTCAGTGTTGTCACCAGTGCCTCCATGAAGGTGATGGTAGCAATGTCTGACTTAGCCACAGTCCTTTGCCTGCTGAAAGTTGAGGTGCTGTGTCTTTACACCAGACAACCCAGTGCATGGGCTTTGCATTCCTTCCAAGTACATATAATCACATTTTTGGGGCATGACCTTCATTCTGCACTAGGGACCCAGCTACATATTTTGAGGGCTGCTTTGTAGTAGGCTCACCTTAATTGCTTCCTGTTTGATTTTGAACAGAAGTTAAACGGGATAAGAAAATAAACTGAGGTGGTGAGTGTTGAAGTGCTTAAAACAACAGAGCGGTTTCTCTTTTTAAGTGCTGAAATCAGCAGAGCAAATCTTCCCCTTCAAACACCTTAGTACTTCACTACCGTGAATAGTTACTTGGGATTTCAAGGAATACAAAGGTCAAGGACACATAAAGGGAGCACAGGAAAAGAAGAGCTCTTTCTCAGGTGCAGAATATGCACAGACAGATTCTAACGTTTGCCAGACATATTAAATCATTTACATTCAGGAGCTGTCTCATGATCAGCTTCGGGTGGGCCATAAAGTACTTACTTAACACAGGTCCTAAGATTAGATGTGATCTTTTCTCCCCTCCTTTAACCCACTTAGCTCCGCTTTGGTTGGAATTTAAGCAAGAAATCAATGAGCCCTTTGTGGGGGAAGAAGGGGCTTTTCAAAAAGTTGAACCTTTAACTTTTTGATTTTCATAATTCCCGTTAAATACATATTTGCTTGGCTTCTAACTATTCGAGGAGCAGTGCTGCCAGATAACATCAGTACCAGCAACCAACTGGCACTGAGGGTTCAGGTTTTCTATTGATTTTGAGTTCAGAGGGGGAAGAAGGGTTGAGTGTGGGTGTATACAGGCAGGGGGAGGAGGTAGCAGTTTAGGGACAGGGTAGTTGCCAAAGATCCCTGCACCCCAAAGCCTAGGGTAACTGTCCCAACAATTTTGCACTTGGGGCTTCTCAAAGAAGTTAAGAGTCTAAATCTCATTTAATGAAGTGCTTTAGGTGCTGGGCTGAAGGTTTCACGGGGAAAAACGTCATTGTGTTAGAAAGACAGGAGAAAGCAAAGTGTTTATTTTTCAATTTGTCTGCATCACCCACTTGTAACGGGGTTTATAGAAGTGGTCTGCAGTCACTTTTTTCGGCGTGTGATTCAGATGGTTGCTTACAAGGAAAAAGAATGATGTGAAATGAAACTGTTAATTATTTCTGAACTGCAAATCAGGACATCTTCCAGCTCCAAATAACAGAATACCTTTTATTAGATGGGATAACTTATTTTCAAAGATGTATTTCACTTGCCTTTTGGCATGAGCCCCATTTTAAATAGTGCTTCAGAACAGAAGCAAGCTGTTTAGGAATTTCTAATTGCATCCTCATCCTCTGGAACAAACCAAGAGGTGTAGATGCATCCATGAACTATGAAAAATACCACCACTGGATCACAGTTCCATGTGTTTGCAAAACCCCCTCACTTCTTCCTGTTAAAAGTAGTTAGACCGCAGTGATTAGTAAGCCTCTCCTTATTTGTCGGCTTCTTAAATCATTCGGAGAATAGTTTTGGCTTTTTCTTCTATATGCAGTAGGTCATCGGTCTTTTGATGAATAGAGTATTTGCAGTTATTTAGTTTCTTACTCTCATCTTTTAATTGAGCATCAGTTCCACTTGCCACTTTCCTAGTGGAAGGGCACATCAGATCCTGAATATGACACTAAATTGCCTCTCTAAGAGTATGACTTGACAGGATGAGACTTCATGGTTATGACATTTTTTACTCTTCTGAAGGATTGCAAAGTACCTAAATAATGTCGTAAAAAAATAAATTTCAAACAGCCTATGAGTCCAGGAGTAAGAAACCTCTCCTGGTCATTAAACTGCTGCTGCAATAAAGATGTGAGATTGCAACTCGATGTGAGAGGTTAGGACATTTGGAAGACACAGACATCCCACAGGAGTTTCCAGGCTGGATTTGGTTTTTAACACATTGTATACAGATAGGAAAGTGTTGGGGTTTGCTGCTGTTTTGGAGCAATAAAGGAGATAAGCTTATAAAAGAAGCCTCTTAGACTTGAAATAAAATGCAGTAAGTATTTATAATGCTTGCCAAACAGCTGTACCAAAATGCTATTTGAAATACAAGGAGCATTTTTAACTTCATCTCTCTCCGCTCCTTTACTTTCACAGGAGGTTTCAAGCTACTTCTCTTCCAGGAAAGCATTAGGCAAAATATGGCATCAAAGGAAACTAGAAACAAAGCATCATGGTAAAAATAAAATTGCCTTTATCATATAACCACATTATTTTCATCTGATAACACTGATTTTTAGGGTTCCAGCTTATTTTTTTTTTTCTTATGTGTAAGTTTGGTCTCTCCAGGCAACTAATTATCTATATTACTTCAATATATCAATACAGAATATGTGGGGGGAGTATTGGGATGTACAAAAGCACTCATGTCTACTTCATTCAGCTCCCATCAGAGCCTGTGGAAATTCTGTGTTTCTTCCAGGGAAAGCGTTTGTGCCAGTGGAGGATGGTCTTAAAAATTTTATCACTTCCTAAAAAGGAAAGTCTTTACTTGCTCCTGCCATAAACACTCTTGCTCCTGTAGCACTTTGCAACCATCGCAGGCAGTTGAGAGATGACAAACATTTCATCAGAGTTGTATTAAAAGAAGAATTTCAGGTAAGTGGAATAGAATTACTGTAAACTGGAAATGTGCCAGGCCACTTCAGTTAAAATCTGAATTTATTCAAAACGGAAGGTAAAGGTGGTTGTTTCATCTACAGAGATGAACCATCTTCTGAAACCTTAGGGGCTTTTTTTAATACCTTTTTTTTTTTTTTTTTTTTTTAATTGATCTGTGTTAGAGTCATCTGCCAATGAAATTATCAGAAAAATAAAACTGAATAATAGGGGATTCTAACACAGACAGCTTGGAAAGCAATTCAAGATTTACTTCCCTGCTTATGGATTTGCTATTTCTTCATTTTCAAAAAACATCTACAAGAGCTTCTGAAAAAAGGCTCTTCTGACTGAAAACTAAACCCTGATTTCCACTGGAGGCTTCCACATACATGAGGTCTAAACCTGTCTAGATAAAAGAAAAATCAAGAAATGAGATAGATGAGCTGTAGAAGCCAGATTTCATTTCCAGTACAAAATGTTTGACATTCATCAGTTTTTACCTACTTTCCTGTCATTTACTCATCTCAGGCATAGCTGTAGAGTCAGTGGGGACAGGCAACGGTAAGAATGGTATCCAAGATTCAGAATAGCATCTAGGAAGTAAAAGTGTATTGGTTTTGTTTGTTTGTTGTTTTTATTTTTTTTCCCCCCCTGGTTCTGCCATTCATTTTCTGCAGAGATATTGAAGGGATAATGCAAGTGTTTGGGGCATCTTGCTGAGAGCAGTGGACTCAGCAGTGTGAGCAATGCCCATCATGTAAGAGCTGCAGTAACTGTGCACCCAGGTGGGAACAGGGTTGGATGAGACACAGGCCAGGCAGTGACAGTATCACTTCTTCACCGGTTCTTCACTACATGACAGAGGCCAAACACTTTGTCTCTAAATGTGTTCAGACTCCATCTTCCTAACAAATGGGATAAGTTCGTTTTTCTGGTAATAAAGAGTATGACCTTTGGTGCTGAATATTTAATATTTAAAGGTTAGTAGTTACTGAGCAAAACTTGCTTCAAGCAGCCACCAATACATGGTGGCCAAGCTACAAGGAGTATCTGCATGGCTGAGCTTGAAGCCATGAACAAGAGGGAGAAGTTGCTGGCTGGGAGTGGAGCTGCATGACTCTGGCTGACTGATGGCAAAGTATCTTATTCCCACAAGCATTTTTTCCAGTTTCCAGCTTGGTATAGGGATTGTGGAGCTATTCCTTGTTCTACACAAGTCTGGGAGAAAGCAGCTAGGGAGGTTAGTTCCTGATATTACATATTATGATGATTACATTTTATTACTAAATTCACCCTTCATGTACGCCTGGCTACAGATCTTGCCATGGCTACTGTTCAGCTGAACATATTCCCATTCCAGGCAAAACCTTTCTTGCAAACATATGTAATTTCAATCACAAGCTTCAGTGTCACATTTGTGTGGAATTATGTTTTCCGCATAGCATGTAGGAAATTAAAAAAAAAAAAAAGAAGAAATAAACTATTAGTGCTATTAATGACAAGGTGTTGAGATATAAACTGCAAAAACGGAACAATCTAACTGGATAACAAAGAGTTCCAAGCAGAGAGATTACCACTGCTTGGAACTAATTAGCCCCATCAGCTTCCTTCATGGTAATTTATCCATGAAAGAGGACAGAAATAGCAGGAGGGAGGGAAAAAAAAAAGTTCAAATTACAGGACTTGTGCTTTATATGCAACTGCTATGAGTAGATGAACCCCCCAGATTCTGCAGGCTGAAGAGTGAGCATGGGTGATCAAAAGCAAAGCCCTGCTCCTGCAGCCCTGTCCCCTTGGACATCTTCCCGGATCGCTGCAGACTGCAGCTGCCCAGCAGCTCTCCCATTCCACAGCACATTTTTCTTCCAGGTGCCACGTGTGTGCAAGGGGCTGCTCGTAGGGATGCAGCTGCTGCAGTGAGAGCTTCTTTCCACTCCTCTTTCTGCCATTAATGTGCTCAGTGAGGACAGCAGAGCCAAACAAAGCCACTGGTGCAGGTAGTTCCTGTGATCTAGTGCCCAGCTGAGTGTCTGACAAAGCCCTTTT